CCCCCCCCCCCCCCCCGTGTTAGGTTCTACATCAGTGACAGAGCCAGGAGAGAGGGGGCTGTGAACTGCTGCAGCAGGGGCCCAGTCTCTCTGGGACCTTAGGGAAGGTTCTCTAAGACAGGGAGACTGGTCCTTTTCACCCTGTAGGAGAGACTGTGGATGGGTGGAGCTTTGGCAAGACCTGACTTAGGCTGAGCCAGAAATCAGCCTTCCCTGGTTGAGGGTGGGGGATAACGAATTAAGGTATCCCTGCTGGGAGAAGGGAGGGTTTCAGCTTCACAACCTGCAGGAAGTGGGCGTTCCCAGAGCTCTTGGAGGCTGTGATGTCAGCTCTGCAGTGCAGGGTTGAGGGGAGCCGGAGCTGGTGCGGTAGCTGGCTCAGGTTCTTCTCTTACTGCCCCCTCTACAAGCTGGGCCCATAGCCTGAATGGTGTCCTCAAATCCTGTTGCTCCCGTGACCCCAGAAGGCTAGGGCTTGGGGGAAGATAAGTCAGCCTGAGGACTAGGGTTTGGGGGAGACCGGAGATGCGAGGGAGCTGAGAATGAGACTAGATGGTGGAGATCCTTGATGCTTCTGGATTGAATGGCAACCTTGCTCTGTAAGTTTTGAGTCTCAGTTCCCCTAGGTATAAAATCTGCTAAATGTTGGACGTTTCTGGGGAAGTCCCCAGGGCTCTTTGGTTTCTTTCTTCTGCAGTTGGAACGGGGCGGCATGCGGAGAAGCTACCGAGAAACACTGGCTCCACCCTCTGCCAAGGGACTCACATCAGCATTTGTTGACATTTCTCAAGACACCCTCAGTGCCGGTGACATTTCAGAGACCTGCTCTCTGACAGGGCTGGAGGATGTGAGCCTGACCCTGAAGCCCTTGCTCCAGACCCAGACCCATTGGAACCAACCTTGCCCTTCCTCCAGCACCTCCAACCAGTGCTGAAACTACCCAGGGGGCTCTGGTGCCAACTTGAAAAACGCTGACGAGGCAAGACTGGAGCCGGTGTGGGCTCAGTCCTTCCCTCGCCAAGCTTCAACGTCTGCCTCTGTGGGATGGAAGCCGCCATCCTTGCTTCCCTCAGAAGAGAGCTGTAAGCGCATCATGGTGAGGAAAGGGAAGTGTTACGTCTGCTGCGTACTCTTGTCCAAGTGTGAAGTTCAGATGGAAGGATTAGGGCTGGGGTAGGGGTACAGTGTGGAGGATCAGCAGGTGCAGAGGCTGGAGGAACCAAGGCAGACTCGGCCCATTTCATACATTGGAGAGAATCACTTGGTGGGTAGATGTCAGCACAGGGAACCAGGGGGATTCTTCGATGCTCTTGTTGAAGCTAACAGAGAGCAACAGAGCCGTGGACCACGTCAGAACCAGCCCAGTCTAAGGCCAGACCACCCTGAACACGCCTGATCTTGGGAACTCAGGAGGGTTGGGTCTAGTTAGTCCCTGGCTAGGGAAACCAGCCTGTGTCAGGAGGGAGAGCCAAGCTCACCAGTTTCCCTCCTTCATCTCAGGCTGGTTAGGAAGCCGATTTGAAAGGTCGGGTCAGAGCGATGACAAAGTGTCTAGATTTCAGAGTCAGCAGAGCTAATCCTGGCTCTACTGCTCGATAGCTGTGTGGCTTTAGGCAAGTACTTCACCTTTCAGAACACTGTCTTTCTCAGTTCTGAAGAAAGGTAGTGATGCGGCGTACCTTGCAGGCTTGTGAGGAGAATTGGAGAGGATGATGTTTCAAATTTCTTGGCATGGACTGCCATAGAACACACACTGAGCTGCTTTGCCGGCCTCTATCGTTAGTGGTATCCGCTCTCAACCAGGAAGCAGGTTGGATCTCACCAAAAACCTGTCTCACCTCAGACGGGCTTCATCCATAAAGAGAGACCATCTCCCCGGCAGGTGCTTGCACATTTGAATATATGCCAAGTACCAGATTTCTACTCAGATTCCAAATGTGCTGATTATGTGAGATAGATTTCCCACCTGAGTCTCAGTTTTTGCCTCTTTAAACATGCAGAGCAGGGGGCTGGAGTTGGGGTTTGGAAGGTACGAGTGCTTGCTGCTCTTCCAGAGGACCCAAATTTGGTTCCCAGCCCCCGTGTCAGGTGACTCCCAACTGCCTGTCACTCCAGCTCCAGGGGATTTGATGCCCTCTTTCGGCCTCTGCAGTCACCTGCCCACACATGGACACACACACACAGGCAGAAACACATATAACAAACAACGAGTCTTAAATAAATATGAGAGTAACCAGTCAAGGATTATGGATTGTTGTTAATAGCCATTGAGTGAATTTCTGGTCAAGCAAACAAGTGTGTTTGGTGCCAAAGTAACACACAAACATTATTTCCTAGGGGATGAGGATGAAATTATAGCCACCACGCTGTCTGCCTAAGCATTTCTAATGGTGACAGAGTGAGGTGCCTGCCTCCCGCTGCAGTACAACAGGACATATCAGCATCGCCTCACACATGTTCCAAAGGTTTTCTCTGAACTGCTTTAGCCTTTAGATCAATTTTCTAGTTTCCAGGAAATGCTAGGAGAGTGTCACAAGCCAAACAACAGTACAAGGAAATAACTAGATAGCTGGGAGAAGGGATGTGTAGAGGAAGGCCAATCTGGATGTCCTAATGGATAAATAGCCTAGAAAAATGGACTGCATCACGTTAAGCAATGCTCTGCCCAGGATGATCAGGTATGGTCCTCCCACTGGACTCTGGCAAACCAACAAGAAAAGACTGGGAGGGTGGTCAGTTGGAGAAATTGGTATATGGGCTATGTACTAGAAGAGAAGACATTGACTGAAATGAAAAGGTGGAAATTGCTGGACACACACACCTTGATCACCCTTCCCCCCCCCCCATTTTATGTATGTGGGTGTTTTGCCCGCCCATGTATCTACCTATGCACTACATGTATGCAGTGCCAGTGGAGACCAGAAGAGGGCGCGAAATCCCCTGGAACTGGAGTTAGAGTCAGTTGTGAGCCTCCATGTGGGGGCTGGGAATTGAACCGGGATCCTCTGGAAGAGCAGCCAGTGGTCTTAACTGTTAAGTCATCTCTCCAGCCCCGTGATCACATTTTGGTTAAATAAACAAGCCAACAAACAAAAAAGACTTCTAAGTTTAAATAAAGAAGATCAAGAACAGCCGGGCATGGTGATGCACACCTGCAACCCCAACCCTTTGAAGGCAGAGGCAGGAGGATTGCCACAAGTTTGAGGCCAGCCTGGTTTACAGAGTGGGTGCCAGACTAGCCACCGCTACATGGTAAGACTTTATTTCAAAAGCAAAAGAGAGTGGTAGTGGGGTGGTGGTGTTAATGGTTAATAGGTATAGGGCCAGTTTTTAATTTTTGTATTTTTGCTGTCTGTATTCATCCCATTTCCAGAATGTGCATGCATTGCTTCTATAATAAAATGCTATTTAATAAGCAGAATGGAAGCAGTAACAATGTGTACCTGCTGGTGCTGTCACGGTGCAATGAGGTAATGAGGAGAAACACAGGCTTTGGCCCAAGTGCATGCTGGGCAGTTTGGTGCCACTAAGATACGTGCTGTTCTACCCCCAATCAGCATTACCTTGAGCTGGCTTGCTGGGGGTGCTACTCTGACCCCCAAGTCCTGGCACATGGCAGGCCTCTGCTGACATTTGTTGAACAAATCACTTCCTCTGGTACAGCTTTTGTTGGAAGGAAGCATGCCTCAGAGCTGCCTTTCTCTCCCTGAGGCCCCACCCAGGGTGTGACTCTCAGCCAGGTCCTTACAATCCACAGGAGGCAGCCCTTGCTAGTAACCCAGAGCCCCGGGGTTCTGGGTCAAAGGAAACAACCGTGTCCCCACTCCCACGGGCTA